CCTTCAATAAAGTCAGGTCAAACTCTTAGGGCAATTGCGAATTAGAGAGTAAAGGACTTTATCAACAGGGAGACTCAAACTTGGGATGCGGGGAAAGTAAGGGAATGTTTCCACTAGAATAGTGCTAAGGAGATCCTGTCCATGGAACTTCCTCAGAGGAAGAAGATTTCCTCTATTGGAATTATCATCAGTCTGGGAGGTACACTGTTAAAACTGGGTACTACTATCTTTCAAAGGATTTGGCATTAGAAGGATCCACTTTTCTAGCAAGAGATCATGAGTTTGTAAAGCTGGTCTGGAGATTGAACATTCAGCCAAAATGGAAGTTGTTCCTTTGGAGACTTTTTCATGATGGTATTGCAGTTCAAGATAATCTGGCTAGAAGGGGAATACAAGTGGACGCAATCTGTGATCATTGTGGGGTAGGCTTGGAAGACAGCCAACACCTCTTCAGGTTCTGTACTCTGGCAAAGGAAGTTTGGGAGAATGGCTCCCTAACTATTTGCCCTGACTTTCCTGGGTTCAACTCATTGAAAAGATGGATCCAACACTATATCCTGCTGTTTAATAGCAGGATGGTAAGCATAGCAATCGTTGCACCGTGTTTATTGCAACACTGTGGGGACTTTGAAAATCTAGGAATGCTAGATGTTTCAAGGGTTCTACAGAAACGATAAGTTCAGTAAGGGAATTTATTAACCTTGCCATGAATGATCATGAAATTTTTAATCTTCAAGCAAGTCCAACACCGGATTTGGAGGTTTCTGACCGGGAAAATCCGACTTTTCCTCCGGGGTTTTATCACGTGCACTTGGGAAAGGATGAAAGTGGTTATGATGATTTCACTATGGAAGCCGATGGCTCCTGGGATAAGAAGACTAGAAGGGCAGGGATAGGTTGGGCAGTTAAGAGTATTCAACAGGGCAATGCAATGGACGAGGGTGGAAAGCATGGAGTGGCCGCTTCAGCCATTCAATGTGAAGCTTGGGCTTGCCTAGAGGCAATGAAATGGGCTTGAGCGAAAGGTAAACAAAGAATTCTTGTTTTATCTGACTCGATTGGTCTTTTGACCAACTTACAAGGGAATCATGGTAAGGATATTTTGATATCTTGGTTACTTAAGGAGTTAAGAGTATTGGGGGCATCTTTTCAAAGGTGCTCTATTTTGAAGGTACAGCGGGATCAAGTCCAAAAGGCGAACGACATTGCTAGAAAATGTCGGACTAACCTTCTGAATTTGTTGTAGGTTTTGTTTTAGTTTCCTTTGCTATTGTCAAAAAAAAAAAAAAATTCCCTAGTTTTATTAAGTGATATTTCTTATGTGGTCTCTCTTATTCACTCTTTCTTCCTCTCCCTTTCTTAAGCTAATCTCCTTAATTTATCTCCTAGGCTAATTGCCCTAATTTTCTTAAGTGATCTCTTGATTTTCTTAAGTGGCTTAAGTAATTTTTCTTAAGTGATATTTCTTCTTGAGCAATTTTCTTTTTCTTGAGTGATTTTTATTCTTAAGTTATCTTTTTAAAGTGTTCTATCTCTCTTTCTAACATTTCAATAACTCTTTTTCCAAAGCTAATTTCTCTTATTTTCTTAACTGATATTTTTAAGTGGTATCCGTTTTTTTTGTTAAGTGATCTTTTCAAAGTAGTCTCTCTCAAATGATGTTTCTTTAGTGGTCTTTCTCTCTCTCTCTCTCTCCCCCCCTCCCTCTCTCAAGTGATCTTTTTTATGTGATCTCTCTCTTTCTCTCTCTCAAGTGATCTTTCGTAAGTGATCTCTCTCTTTAGTGATCTTTCTTCATAAATTAGCTTAAGAAAACGTAATTAGCTTAAGTGGTTCAAAATTTTTAAACCTTTTCCTAAGCTAGTTGCTCGATTTTCAATCTTAAGTGATATTTCTCTCCCCTCCCTCTCTCTCTCCCTCTCTCGCACTCACTCTCTATATAGCATTTGAGTAAGTCTCTTCTTAAGATAATTGTGTTTTCCTAATTGGTTGGCCTGATTTTCTTAAGTGGCCTCTCTCTCTATCTCTACTCATGTTTGACCGACGGGTAATACGACAGTCTATAAGGTAGCTAAATAAAATATAGATATGAATTTAGAATACTTATGCATATAAATATGGTAGCATGGTTAGAGTCATTAAAAGAAATCAGTTTAGAGTTGCACCTATTTTCATGTTATTTTATGATATTTCCAGGATAAGTTGTGTTTAATGTTTTTAATTGTACTCATTTTTCACAGGTGGGTAATACGACTGCCTAAATAGTAGCTAAGTGGGAGGTTGATATGAATTTGAAATATGTACGACTAATTTCCCTAAAAAAATTTCAAATTTTGGCGGATCTTGATTTAATTTAATAATATCTCCAACAATCTTTAAGAAAATTATGAAGTACAATATAACAATCGGTTGTGAACTTTATACTATTAATTGATTTAAATAATGCTAAATGGATCTCATTTTAAATTACCTTTTAAAACAAATTTCATTATATAAAAAATACTCCATAACAAACTTATAAGATATTTATTGAAATTTGAAGTTATAATTTATTTTGTACATAAGAAATGTTGGAATTTTTTCTTTTAAAAAGAAGTTTAAAATTAAAAATCATATTAAAATTAAACTGAAATAGATCGTAAGTATTATTATATATAAGTTAATTAAGCACTTTGTATCCCTCTAGGTTTTCCTTGGGAGGGTGTTCCGTCTAGCTCTTTTGGCTAGTTTGTCCTCCTTTGTTCAAGGTTTAATCTCGAATCTTCGAGGTTTTTCTGTTCTCAATCTATGGCTACACCTTTAGCTTGTTCGAATATTATTCCTGTAAAGGAAGGAGTTAATGAATAAGTCTTGGAAAAACGAAGACGATCATGAAGAAATTGTATGGTTTGTTGATGATGAGGAAGATGAGGATGCTACGGCTTCGCTTGGATTAATGGGAAGGGTCTGAACTGAGAGAAATGTGAATATAAATGCTCTGATTAATATGATGAAGAAACTATGGAACCCTAAATACAGTTTCGAAACGAGTTGTAATCGATAAGAATGTTTTCCTTTTCCAATTTCATCATTGGAGGGACAAGGAGAGGGTTTGGGATGAACAACCGTGGCATTTTGATAGACACACAATTGTTTGAATGATATCTAAGGGGACATTAAGCCATCAGAAACACCATTGCATTCTGTTCCTTTTTGGGTCAGAGTGTATTTTCAAGGGAAAAGGGAATGAGGAAAACGCTAGGACTCTTGAAAATAAATTAGGTACTTTTATCAAGCTTGATAAATCTTTCAGAGAGGGGTGAATAAATCGTCGCGCATTCGATTCTTGTTGATTTGCGTAAGCCAATAAAGAAGTGGGTGGAGTTAAAGATGAGGGGAGGCATGAAAGATCGGTTTTGTGTTGCTTATGAGAATTTACCATTGTTGTGCTATGTGTGTGGTATGCTGGGACATGGCGAGAAAGATAGTGACAATCAAAATAGAGAAGCATCCCCTAAGCGCCTTTATGATGATAAGAGTTTCCTCCCCATTGCAGGTAACCAAAAAGGACGTCCTAAGGTCTAACCTTAGTCCCATGTCAAAGGCTCCTAAACTCTTTGTAACAAGGAAGTCTGGTGGTGTGGGAATTTCAAAAGAACACATGAACCAGGTTGCAAAAAACATGAATTTGTGACTTTTGACAAGGAATATAAGGAGACGGGTGAGAATGAATCGATATTCTGAGGAAGTGGGAAGTTAATCAAAGCAAGACACTCTCTTGTGAACAATATACCAAAACAACAGGACATAGTTACTAGTACAACACATAATTCTGAACCTGATGGTGTTCCCCATGCTCATAGTTTGAAGGATCCTGGAGATCAAAACCAGTTATACTTGTTCTCGGCTGGTAATACTGCTGCTCCAAAAAATAAGGAACGACGAATTTGGTTTAAAGAGGGGAGAGACGTGATGATGGGTGAGGATGAGGTGGAGGAAAGCACTGTTATTGTCAATGTGGTGGGGAAGAAGAAGAAGAGTAGAGGTGAAGAGGAAGTACAGGCTTTCTGTTTGGATGTGCAAGGCATTGAAAAGAAAACGAAGAGAAGTAGTGACAACATAAATTAACTAGAGGGTTGTGGAGCAAAGCATACCCTCGAACAAAAATGAAAATCCTAAGTTGGAACGTCCATGGAATTGGCAATTCATGGACGAGTAAGACCCTCCGGGATTAGTGTTGGAGCAAAAGGCCAAATATTGTCTTCCTTATGGAGACAATGATCGATGCAAGTAGTTTGGAGAGAATTAGAAATATGTGTGGCTTTGTAAGTGGGGTTTGCTTGAGTAGTACTGGTAATTCCGGTGGTATCGGGTTTTGGTGGAGAAATATAAACGCAAGAATGGTCTCATACTTACATCACTTCATTGTGGATGTATGTGCTCACAATGATGTCCCAAAGTGGAGAGCGGTTGGTATCTATGGTTGGCTGGAATAGGAGAATAAAGTTCGTACTTGGGCTCTTATGGCTCAAATCAAAGCTTGCAATCACTTGCCGTGTGTGATGTTTGGGGTTTTCAATGAGGTAGTGAGTATCAATGAAAAAGAGGGTGGTTAAATGAGAAGATAGAGCTTAATGGATGCTTTTAGGGGTGCAATTGATGATTGTGAACTCCATGACTTGGGCTTTTGAGGTAGAATTTTCACTTGGAAAAGGGGGACTGACCTTTCTATATACATCCGGGAAAGACTTGATCGATTTTTGGGTGACAATAACTATTGTTCACTTTTCCCATACTATGAGGTGAAACATTTCCCGATATATCAGTCCGACAACGCTCCTATTCTTCCTACTGCCAGTGATCATCGAGAGGATGGAAGGAGGAAAAACAATTCAAGTTTGAGGCGCTTTGGTAGTCTAATTTAATGATGAATACGGGAAAGTTGTTGAGGAAGCTTGGAAAAATAATGTTGCTGAGAAGACCCTAACTAAATTGGCTCGCTGTACTAATGATTTGTCCTCATGGGGAGCAAAAACCTTCGATGTGCTGAAGATGAAAATAGGGGTAGCAGAGGAAAATTAAAAGAATCGCAGAGTAAGTTTCCTGATGCGGTTATACTGGAGTTATGTAATTCAATTTTACGGGAGCTTAATGACCTTCACCGCCTTGAGGAATCCTACTGGCATGCCCATGCAAGAGCTAATGAGATGCGTGATGGTGACAAGAACACGACTTTTTCCACCAGAAAGCAAGTATGAGAATGCACTACAATAGCATAGGGGGCTTGTTTTACAATGAAGGAAATTAGCGTGAAAAGAAAAAAGATCTGGAAGAAATTGTAGCAAAGTAATTTTCTGCTCTTTTTGCTACAACAATTCTGAATAATTGTGAACAAGCTTAGGCTGGGATCGAGCAAGTGGTGCGTGTCTGATAGTATGAATGATAGTATCAATGCCGAGCCCGCTGCACAAGAAATCAAGAATGCCCTATTTTAGATGCATCCGAATAAGGCCACGGGACCAGACGATATGCATGCCTTTTTTCAAAAATTTTAGCATATAGTCGGTAGTGATATTGTATATTTTGTGAAAACTTGTGGTTTGGAAATGTGGATTTGCATGAGATTAACAAAAGTTGTGTGGTCTTAGTTGCAAAATGTGAGAAAATGAAATATACGACAGAGTTTAGACCAATAAGTTGTTGTAATGTGTTATATAAATAATTTCAAAAGTAATGGCTAATAAGATAAAGCCTTTTTTGGATAAATTCATATCTCCCAATCAAAGTGCTTTTATCCGGAAAAGGTTGGTTACAGACAATGCTCTAGTTGCTTTCGAAATTTTTCATGCTATGAAGAAGAAAGGGGAGGGCAAGAAGGGGTCTTTTTCTATGAAATTGGATATGAGATACGCATACGATAGGGTGGAATGGGCTTTTTTGGAAAGGGTCATGTATAGAATGGGGTTCAATGATTACCGGGTCTGAAGAATCATGGATTGCTTGTCTAGTGTGTCCATCTCTTCCAAGTTTAATGGGTGCATCTCTGGAGCATTCACACCAACCCGTGGTCTCCGTCAAGGGGATCCAATATCTCCTTACCTATTTTTGATTGTTGTCGATGCTTTTTCTACTTTGTTATCGAAAGCTGCAAATGATAACAAAATCCATGTACAAGAATTTGTAATTGGACTCCTAGAGTTTCACATTTATTCTTTGCGGATGACAACATTTTATTTAATTTGCAAAAGCTACAGTTAGTAAATGCTCGGTGATAGCTGACATAATCAGCATATTTGAGAGAGTGTCTGGTCAAAGTGTTAATCAAAACAAAACTGATGTAGTCTTTAGCAAATGTGTTAATGTTGTTCAAAGGAAGGAAATTGAGGATATTCTAGGTGTTAAGGAGGTTGAAATACATGAAAAGTACCTTGGTTTACCTACAATCATAGGTAAATCAAAGAAGATAATTTTTGCAGGTTTGAAAGAAAGAGTGTGGAACAAGATCCAAGGTTGGACAGAGAAATTGCTTTCAAGACCCAGAAAGGAGGTGCTTATAAAAGCTGTAGCCCAAGCGATCCCGACTTATATGATGAATATTTTCAAGATCCCAGAAGGATTGATTGATGAGATTCATGCTTTACTTGCCCGGTTTTGGTGGGGATCGTATGGAGCGACGAGGAAAATGCATTGGCATAGTTGGGAGGCTCTCTGCAAACCAAAATCTATGGGGGGATATGGGTTTTTGAGATCTCAAAGTATTTATTCAAGCTCTCCTCACCAAACAAATGTGGTGCCTTCATATAATGCCTAACTCCCTCGTGCATTCTATTCTAGAGGCACGATACTTCAAGCACTGCTCAGTCCTTGAAGCTTATAGAGGTCACGATCCTAGCTACTCTTGGCGTAGCATTTGGGGTTCGAGATCCCTTATTCTCGATGGTGTTAAATGGAGAGTGGGCGATGGAAGGAATATTCGTGTTTGGTTCGATTCTTAGTTGTCAGGGAAACCGTCTACTACTGTAGGGAATATTTCAAACATCAACTTTGAGCCCCACTGTGATCATGCTTTTAAGCATGGTGGCGTCCAAAGGGAAATAAGCTAGAGATAAAAGAGTCGCCAACAAGTTTTAGGAACTTGTAAACCGTTCACGGGTGTGAAGGTTACACCCCATGTACGATCACGGAGATCGCTAACTCCATAGCGGTCTAGAACCATGACTGAATATTCGGGGATGATGGTATGAATCCAACCGAAAAGAGATTGAACCCACCCTAAATCGACCTCTACTTAATTCTTATGATATTCATGTGCGTTTTACGATCAACATACATCCAACAAGTTAGCCCTAAACCTATTTAATCTATGTTGGTTGATTATTAATGCACAAATAAATCTATTATTGGCGATCACTGAAATTAAAATCATATTAAACCTAAATTAAAACAAATTATTAATTATCTTATTAGGTGTGATTTCAAGTACAAATTCCCTTTAAACCTGCAAGAAAGGACGTGATCAAGAAATAACAATGAGCATGAATAATCAAGCAATGTATAATTGACACAACAAATCATCATCATAATCAAAACATAATAATATCATCAAAACAATATTAGCAAGATCCTAGACATGATACTAAACGGATTAATAACAAAGCCTAGCATGTCGCTAACAATAAAGATCAAAATGTTACCTTAAACATGATACTAGGAACATGATATTAGAAATAGTAATTAACACCCTACACATGATACGAGGAATCATAAAAGCATCCTAACTTGATACTAGAAATCATAAAGACATCCTAACATGATACTAGAAATCATAAAGACATCTTAACATGACACTAGGAATTAAAATAATATTCTAAGCATGATTTCTATATCAAAGGAATAAGGATAATAGATCTACTCACTTTGATGCCTCACACCTCTTTCTATCAAAACAATACTCACGTTAGTAACTTCAAGAAAGATTAAACAAATATACCAAATAAATAAGAATTGAATTAGGGATTTGGGACCATACCCTTAGAACTATCAACCTTTTACGTCGAGATCGAAGGCAACTCCGAGATTGGCTTGGAGTATTCAAGGCTTGTGAAGGAAGTATGGTGTATGATACAGAGAAGGTGTGGGATGTGTTTAGGCTAGGCTAAGAAATCAAGAAAGAGAGAGAAAAGCTTTTAGCTTAGAGAGGGAATTAGATGATGATTGTTGGTGAATGAAAACGGAGGAAAACAACCTTTATTTATAGGGAAAAAAGAGGTCGAAGGATCAGAAAAGAGTCAGAATCCGACTCGGAGTCAAACAGGCGCTATCGCGACGTGATATTTCTATCGCAGCGCGATAGGCTTATCGCTCAGCGATATTTTTAGAAGATAGAATCCGTACGGAATCCGACTTCTAATCAAATTGGGTTAATTGAATATCCGTACGTATTCTAATTTTATCGGAATTAAAATTATTAAAATACAAGTGTTTAATCCGATGTAAAATCCTTAAATCTTTATATTTTCAAAAACAAGATAAATTAGAACCTTCTATAGAATTCCAGAAACTAATAATAAATCCTAATAAGTTTAGGAATGAGGTTAAGTGGTTAATGGACCCTCTACATGGTCATTGGGTCGTAGGTAAGACTCGATTTAGGCCCAGTTTAGTATTTTTCCCATAACTTCTTCGTTATAACTCGGATTTGGGCTTACAATATATTGTTGGAAAACTCTTTTCAAGCCCCATCCAATTACATAGTAATTGGACCCGGACTATGGACCAAAATAAACTGGTTTGGACGTTTGTATAAGGAGGACACGAAATGAATGATTTTAAGGGACAAGAAATGAATGATTTTAAGGGACAAGAAATGAATGATTTTAAGGGATACGAAATGAACGATTTTAGTTAAAAACATATTAGGAAAGGTTATAAATGGTCAAGGCTAAAGGGAACCTCACAAGACTCTTCAACTCTTTCACCTAACTTGATAATTAAAGACGTGAAAGGTACTCATCATTGGGTTTGGTTTTTGGGGAGACACAATCAGGTGTCTACTAAAACCCCCACTTTGACTGAGTTTGGAGAAACATAAGTTTCAAAAACAAAAAGTCAAAGTAAAAGGATAGGGACGCAGAATGATTCAAAACGTTATGCGATCCTAAATCATTCTTTTTAACACCGATACCTATAGAAAACGTCAGTTCCACAAATAAAGGAGTTAAGGGAAAGAAACGCGTATCTTGCACCGTCGGGTACTCGCCTCCGGGTGACATCTCATCAGATCAAACTTCTTTTGATAACCTCCACAATCTTAGGGAACGCCGTCGAAGATCTCCACATCTCGTGCCATCTTCTCAAACCAAGTAATAACCTCCTCAATCTTAGAGAATGCTGTCGAAAACCACCACATCTCGTGCCGTCTTCTCAAATCAGGTGACAAACTTCTCAATCTTAGGGAAAGCAGTAGAAGACCACCTCATCTCGGGCCGTCTTCTCAAATTAGGTGACAACCTTCTCAATCTTAGGGAAAGCAGTCGCAGACCACCTTATCTCGAGCTGTCTTCTCAAATCAGGTGACAACCTTCTCAATCTTAGGGAAAGCTGTTGAAGACTACCTCAGCTCGAGCCGTCTTCTCAAATAAGGTGACAACCTTCTCAATCTTAGGGAAAGCTGTTGAAGACCACCTCATCTCGAGCCGTCTTCTCAAATCAGGTACCAACCTTCTCAAACTTAGGGAAAGTTGTCGAAGATCGTAGTACTTAACCATCTTCAAATCAAAGTGACAACCTCCACATGGTAGGGAATTTTGTCGAAGATCGCAGTGCTTAGCCATCTTCAAGTCAAAGTGAGACAACCTCCACATCTTAGGGAATGTTGTCGAAGATCGCAATGCTTAGCCATCTTCAAATCTTCTCGCCTTCACTCCTAGAAGTGGTATCTCCTTCATCTTTGGAAAATCTACCATAAAAACCTCATATCTCAAGGTCTTACCGAGCTTTAAATTGATTTCCATAGAAATCTTCCATCTTAGGAATTCTCTATGATTATGCTCAATCACTGCTCAATCAATGTACTCCACCAATTCTTAGGTGGACTTAACCAATGCTTAGGTGTACTGAAATGTGCTCAACCAATGCTTAGGTGTGCTAAAGTGTGCTTAGCTAATGCTAAGGCGTTCTCAATCAATACTCAAATGTATTGAGCTAATGCTTAGGCGTACTCAATCAATCAACAAGATGATCGTCATCAGGC